GGAGGCTGGGGGAGCCGCAGTTGTCTCCGTGGAGGAAGTTGGGGGCCTGGTGCTGTGTCCTGCTGTGCCCTCTGACTCCCGCATTCCCCTCTACAGCCATCAGGCCAACCTCCTGGCAAGCTCTTCTCCCTAAGGCCGCAGCCTCCAAGTGTGGTCCTGGGACCCCTGGGGTTCTCAGGAAGTCCAAAGGAGGTTACATTGGATTGCTGGAGGAAGCCTGTCATGTGTTAGCTCATAAAATGAAGTTGTATTAGCTTAGTGACAATACTGTAAAGATCTGTGACAGGCTATGAGGAGTTTAAATGAGAGTTTGAAAAGAAAGCGGTTTGTTTTTTTTTTTTTTTGTAATGTGGAGGAATTATTAGCCTTGAGAGATGCCAGTGTGAGATGTGGCATTCTAAAGAGAAATACAGCAGAGCCACAAAATAGAAAAATGTTATTGTGGGTTCTGGGTACAATTCCCGTGGCTGGATCACAAGCTAAAACCCTTAAAACTAATAAGCAAAACGTTTGGAGAAGGGGCCTAGGCATGTCAGGAAATCAGGGTTCTTTGTAATTGGAATGCTGCCTTTGATATCATTTGGGGTATCCTAAGAGATATTCATAGTGACTTTTAATATCCTCACTTTCAAGGAGTTTATTCCTTCATGAGCCCCCTATGATGGATAAGACCTAGTTATTAGTTTCTCACTGTGAACCCAGCCAGTGGTATTTGGATGCCATTGATATGGGTATCTCAAATGATAGACCAACTCTGCATTCTAAAGGAGGATGTTCAAAGTGATTCAGTAATGCTTAATTTGACAAGTATTTGGTGAATGCTATCTTCTCAACTCTTCTAGGCCCTGAGGACACAGACCCATGAGCTCTCTGCTCCATGGAACTTACAGTCTGAAGGAGTGTAGTAAGCTACAAAATGGTCACACAAAGATGTCAGGGCCCAGCTTTTCGTAAATGTTAACCTTGGAAGTAGCAACTTTCAAGTGTGATTAAGAGACAGATCTTGAGACAAGACTATGCTGGTTTATCTGGAGAACCTTTAGCTCCATCATATATATCCTTATAAGGAAATAGTGGAAGTTGAGTTGCCTCAAACAGAAAAAGCCCTATACCTATGAAAACAGAGATGGCAGTGATTGAGCCACAAACCAAGGAATGCTGGCGGCCAGGAGAACCTGGCAAGGACAAAACACAAGTTCTCTTCTGGAGCTGTAGAGGGAACACAGCCTTGCCCACACCTTGATTTTGTTCCAGGAATACTGATTTAGGACCTCTGTCCCCAGAACTGCAAGCAAATGAATGTGTTAGTTTCAACTACCAAATTTATTGCCATTTGCTATAGCAGGTACAGGAAGCTAAAGAAAAAAAAAAAATTCACAGAACAACTGATAATCAATGGACAAGAAAAATTTCAGACAGATTAAAAATAGCAAAACAATGAATGGGTGCAGCAAGAACGTCCAGACATTGTTACTCAGCCCTGAAGAAGGCAACGAAAGAATTTCAGAAAGTACACTCTGTAATACTCCTAACAATCTAATAGTTGCTATTATGGTTTGAATCTAAAATATCTCCCACACGCTGGTGTTTTCAATGCTTGTTCTCAAACTAGCAGCACTATTTTGTAGGCTGTGGAGCTTTTAGGAGATGGGACCAGGCTGGCAGAAGTAGATTTCTAGGGACAGGCCTTTGAAGACTATATGCAGCTGGCTGGAGAGATGACTTGGGTTAAGAACACTGGCTGCTCTTGCAGAAGACTCAGGTTGCATTCCAACACCCACATGGCAACAACAGCCATCCTTAACTCCAATCTCAAGGGATCGGGTGCCCTCTTCTGGCCTCTGTAGGCACTGCACAACAATAGTGCACATACAGACAAACACATAAAAATAAAAAGTATACCCAGCCTTGGTTCTAGCCTGTCTCTCTGCTTCCTGGTCCTCCATGGTTTAGGGCACCTCCTCCACATTCTCCTGCACTGTGCCTTCCCTGTAATGGTGGTCTGACTCACTCTAAAACAGCAGAATCTTTCCTTCTATAAGATATTTCTCTCAGGCATTCTGTAACTTACACAGTTGCCAAAAAGTTCCCTTCCTGGCCCAGTATGGTGGCACCCACCTTTAATCCCAGCACTTGGGAGGTAGAGGCAGGAGATCTCTATGAGATCAAGATCCAGGTCACTGTGATCTACATAGTTCCAGGTCAGCTGGGTCTACAGGAGGTCCCAGACTCAAAAAAAAATGAAACAAAACAAAAAAGATTTCCCAAAGATTTCTTTCCTCTTTGTAACATACGTCATAGTTAATGATGAACCTCCTGTGGCTTCATGACTGGATTTGGGAAAAATAATAAAATATTGTTATACAAGGAAAAATAATGGCCATGATCCCTGCTGGTATATTTCTGTATTTCTACTGTAAACATAAGAAAAATAAAAGATCTGGGAATGTAGCTCACTTAGTAGAGTACCTAAATGAAGCCTTGGGTTTGATCTCTGGCATCACACAAACCAAGCATGGTGGCATGCGCTTGTGAATCCTAGCATTACCTGATGAAGTGTTGGCAAGAGGGTCAGAAGTTCACAGTTATCCTCAGCCACCTAGTGAGTTAAAGCCAATTTGAGCCATATGAGATCCTTTCTGAAAAAAGGAAAAAAGAAAAATACAGAAATGATCCACAGAATCTATTGGTGCATTAAAGTCCTGGAAGACAGAGAGCAAGCTAAGCCTGTCTTCCTAAAATCCCTTTTCCCTTGGTCATTTGTAACTGGAGATACATAGAATAATTCAGAATTTCAAGAAGTTCCACAATGCTATCACTCATCATTAGTTCCTCAAAGGTAAATACTGTCCTAACTCTTAACACTATTAATTGGCTTTACTTGCCTTTGAACATCATAGGAATACGTTGCACACAGTACATACTCTGATAACTGCTCCTTTCATTCCACAGTATATCCATGAGAGCCATCCATGTTGTATGCAGCCATAATTTGTAATTTTCCATTTTTGTCTCCTACTCCATTATATGAATGTACCACAATTTATCCACTCTACAACTTAGGGATGTATAGGTTATTTCCAGTTTGGGACTATCATGAGTAATGCTCCTTCACACACCCCACCATGCCTCCAAAGAATCTCAGTCCACAGTACCACTCTTAAAAAAAAAAAGTCTATGTACATTTTGTAGTTTAAGATGGGTAAGATATTCAACAGTCACAACTGGTTTTGCATATACCTTCTGAGCATCTGCATTTGGCAGTTTATTCTTGGAAAATCTCTTTACAATACCTGGTGGTCTCTACCAGTACATCAGTATTCACATACTATTTTCTTCAGCATTACAGAATGTCACGTCCGACACAAGTATATTGAGCTAACTTTCCGTCAATACTGAGTTTTGTTTTGTTTTTTGTTTTTTTTTTTTTTTTTTTTTTTTGGCAAAATAAAACTTTAACTGATAAACTCATCTGGAGGTGAAAACACAAAAGAATAACCAAGAAAAAGGAAAACCACCACATTCCTTCCCATGGGCTCATGACCATATCATGATGTGAAATGCATTTAGTCCAACTTTAAAAGTCCCCATAATCATTATCGGTCTCAATACTATTCGAAAGTCCACAGTCCAAAGTGGACTCAGGTAAATATCTTAACTGTAAGCCTCTATAAAACCAAAAGACAAATTACATACTCCCAACATACAGTGGAACCAACTACACATTACCATTCCAAAAGGGAGGAATGGAGGCATGGACAAAACAGGACCGAAAACCAGCTAGGCAAACACCAAATCCAGTAGCTCCATGTCCAACTTCTGGGACTTCCAAAAGGCTTAGATGGCTCAGCTTCTCTAGCTTTGCTGTGTACAACACACATCTCGCTCTTGTTCTGGTACCACTCCCTGTATGCAGGTCTTAGCAGATGCCTCATGGCTCTGGCATCATTAACTTCTTGGGGTCTCCATTGCCAACCAGCCTTCACCTTCACAGCTTGACGCAGTGGCCTATCAGGGCCTTCTCTAGGCAGCGGCACCCCTGCTGCATGCTACCTAGCCTCAGCAGCTCTCTGAAAAGGCAGAGGAAGAACTGATGACCCCTTCACTCTTGTATCTTTCATGCGCAGCCAGCACCAGGTGAATGACAATGCCAGGTTTGACTGCAAGTTTGGGGTGGACTCCAGCTTCCTTTACCCATTTTAGAAGCTTTTCTCTTCAGTGGTCCCTGCAGCATTTTCCTTTCACAAGTTGGAGGCTTAACTGGGTGTGGTCTTGCCCTGGAGGCACTCTCTCCATTGTTTGACTCTCTAGGCCCCTCCTTAATCACTTTAATCTTCTTAATCACTTTAATCTCCTTATCAGTGGGATCCTCTCCCTCACATGCCAGGGTTCCTACATCTATCTTCCTAGTGCTCTTTTTTCAATCCAAACTGTATTTCTTTCTACCCCACTCCTGG